TATGTATGTATGTATGTATGTATGTATGTATGTATGTATGTATGTATGTATGTAAATATATATTTTCTTTTCCTTTCCCTCTCCCCCAGAGTTCTTCAAGTCCCTGAAGAGGATTTTGGGGAACAAATTGTATTTAATACTATTGTCCTCATCGCTGCTGAAAGCTAGCAGTTTTATTGGTTACATGACCTACCAAGCAAAATACATGGAGCAGCAATATGGACTGACAATGTCAAGATCTAATTTTATAACAGGCAAGTCTGTCTCCTCTCTCTGTCTTGTTCTCATTTTTTCTCTTCTTTACACACACATACACACCCACATCTGCTTGTACCACAGCTTCCTAACAGACAAAGTAAATTAAGGAACAATATTGTCACTCAAAAGTGGTGGCGTTTGAGAAATAAACGAGAGAAGCAATACATACATATGTATGTATGTGTGTATGTAAAATAGAATGTAAATTTGATTCTGTTTTAAATTTTGTCAGTAGTACATACCGGTAATTAATGGATCATGACTCTCCATGATCAGGCATTCAGGCACTGATCATCTCATGTCCGGACTCAATGGTGGGATTCAACATTTTTTACTACCGCTTCTGTGGGCGTGGCTTGATGGGCATGGCTTGATGGATGTGGCAGGGGAAAAATACTGTAAAATCTTAATTCTCTTCCGATCAGCTAGGACTCGGGAGGCAGAGAATAGATAGGAGCGGGGCCAATCAGAGGTGGTATTTACCAGTTCTGCAAACTGGTCAGTACCTGCTGAATATCACCTCTGTCCGGACTACTGCAACACACGCTACTTGGGGCTAACCTTGAAGAATATTCAGAATTATAGCTGGCACAGAATGCAGCATTGCATACAGTTTTGGGGGCCCCGAGGGTGGCCCATGTAACACCTCTCTTACCCAAGCTGCATTAGTTAAGTGAATCCCTGAAGTTGTTAAGTTAGTAACAACAACATGAGCTGTGATGGCGCAGTGGTTAAAATGCAGTACTGCAGGCTACTTCTGCTGACCGATGGCTGCTTGCAATTTGGCAGTTCAAATCTTACCAGGCTCAAGGTTGACTCAGCCTTCCATCCTTCTGAGGTGGGAAAAATGAGGACCCAGATTGTTGGGGAAAAGAGGCTGACTCTGTAAACCTCTCAGAGAGGGCTGTAAAACACTGTGAAGCGGTATATAAGTCTAAGTGCTATCGCTATCGCTAGTAGCACAATTGTTAAGGGAACCTGGCTCCCCCATTAATTTTGCTTGTCATAAGGTCGCAAAAGTTCATCACATGACTTCGGGCCACCGCAATTGCCATAAATATGAACCAGTTGTCAGGCATATGAATTTTGATCACGTGATCATGGGGATGCTCCAATGATTGTAAGTGTGAAAAACGGTCATAAGTCACTTTTTTCAGTTGCCGCTGGAACTTCAAGCAAACTATTGTAAATCAAGGACTATCTATACTCCTCTTTCCCTCTGTTTGCAATTATGTCTATGTGTCTCTCGACTCATAAAGCATTTGTATGTCTGTTATAAGTTGCCATGGTGAGGAAAGTGGGGGAGCGCACCCCACGCATACCTTTGGCTCGAGTCGGATCTCAGATTACTACAGCAGGTGTGTGAGCTGGGCACCTCACTGGAGAATGTGATTTATGACACAGACTGAGGGGAAGGAAGAAAAAAGGGCAAAGTTTAGCCATAATTTAAATGAGGTCAGATCTGACTGCAATGGGGTATTGGCGAAATGGTGTTCCTAATAAATGACTGGCTTTCTTTTGAAACTTGGCTTGAAGCTCATGAATTAATTAGGGCATTTTTCGGAAACCTGGCAGTTTCTTTTGCTCATGTTGAGTATCTGATGACAATGGAGGAATGTGACTTTCACTTTCTTTTTGTTTATTTTTTATCTACTTCAGCTGTTGCCATTCTGCCAGTGGTCCTCGTTGGGATGATTTTAGGTGGGTTCATCATGAAAAAGTACAAGCTAGGAATACTTTCTGCTATAAAAATGACATACATAGCATCGTTCCTCGGATTTGCCTTTTCGATTCTGTATCCAATGCTGGGTTGTGACAACCACCCAGTGGCTGGATTGACGGTGACCTATGACGGGTAAGTCAATATGTTGATATGTGTGTGAGTACACATAGGTCTGTAAGCTTGTGGTATGTATGGCATTGATGGTCCTTTTAGAGAACCAAGATACGTTTACATCATGGCTGAAAGCTACTATCAATAGATTCCAGTTAAGGTATCCCATCAGAGATGGCCTTCTTTTCTAGTTTTGCATTTCTCACTGGAGGTGGTTCGTGCATTAAGAGGCAATCTCACCTTCCCTCCTGTACATTCTGTTCCCTCCCTCATCTTTTAATCATAATTTTATTGTTTTTATTGTTTTTGAGATATATGTATATGATTTTAATGTTTTATGCTGTATGCCACCCAGAGTTGTTCTGTTATGAGACGGACAGCAAATAAATTAAATAGATTAGATAGATGATAGAAAGATGATAGATGGATGTCTGATGAATGGATGGATGGATGTCTGATGGATGGGTGGATAGAGATAATAGATGGATGGATGGATGGATGGATGGATGGATGGATGGATGGATGGATAGATAGATAGATGATAGATAGATAGATAGATAGATAGATAGATAGATAGATAGATAGATAGATAGATGATTATATAGATAGATGATCGGGGATGGATACAATAGATAGATAGAATAGATAGACAGACAGACAGACAAATAGATGGATGGATGGATGGATGGATGGATGGATGGATGGATGGATGGATGGATGGATGGAT